GATTTATAATATTAGGGTCTGTAGCCTGGTAAAGAGGTGACCAATGACCTGGCGCTTCTGTAAGTTTAACACCATGATCCAGAAGTCTCTTTACAATTAGGAGGGAGCCTCCAGCTGCTGCATAGTGCAAGACTGTGTTGCCTCTTACATCAGTACTATTTATGTCCAGGCCTCTGGAAAGTAGAAAGTCAAAGGCTTCGAGATGGCCACCTCTGGCGGCACAATGGAGAGCATTCAATCCTCCCTCATCCGTCAATTGGACACATGCAGCATTGTCCCTAGCCAAAAGTCGCAGGACATCAGAGTGGCCTTCCGAAGCTGCACCAAATATTGGTAATAAGCCGTACAATCCACCATCATCAGTCGCAGCCCCGTAATCGAGGAGCAGCTGAACGACATTCTTATGCCCTGCTTGACAAGCAGCATATAGGGCGTTCCCAACCAGCCTTTCTTGCGCATTATTGACCCGGTTTATTCTGTTGCTGAGTAATATCTCCATCGTGGATAAAGCTCCACGGGCAGCTACAGCACAAAGTGTATTTTCTTCAACACTGAACGCAGAGTGCACATCTGCACCGAGTAGCCATTCCACTATCTCATGGTGGCCAGATTTTGCAGCGTTATCGAGGACCGAACATCCAGTATGGGTGCGAGCATGGATGTTTGCGCCAGCCTTATGCAGTACTTGTGCAGTCTTAAGGTCCTGAGTAGCTGCTCTGTGTAGTGGTGTCCATCCGACCTTGTTAGCAACAGAGGCATCTGCACCAAGCGACAGCAACCACTCAACTATCTCGCGATGACAACCTTCTACAGCTGAGTATAACACCGTATCTCCAGCCTTATTGCGAGCATGGATGTCTGCGCCAGCCTTATGCAGTACTTTCGCGGTCTCAAGGTCCCGAGTAGCTGCTTTATGCAGCGGCGTCCGTCCGTTCTTGTCTACTCCAGAGACATCTGCACCATTGAATAACAAGACCTCAACAATCTTGCAATTGCTTTCCCGTACAGCCACATGCAAGGGAGTTTCCCTTTTTTTGCTCCTCGCGTTGACGTCGATGCCGGCAGCAACGAGTAACTCTACCATCTGAACCATTTCATAGAAGGTATGGACAGCTACAGCTATGTGGAGGGCGTTCCTCCGTTCTTTGTCTCGCGCTTGAAGGTTGACGCCCTTCGCTAGCAGCTGCTTGACAATGTCTGTGTTGCTGTAGTCTACCGCTACGAGGAGAGGTGTTCTCTCCTTGTCGTCTTTGTGCTCGCAGTCAATTGTCTCTGAACGCAGAAGAAGCTCAATAACTTTCGCATGATGATGTCGGATCGCTAGTACGAGTGGTGTCTGATTGTCATCGTCAGGCCCGTTGATATCTGCGCCAGGTTCTCCAAGCAACTCTTGTACGCAACAGACCACTCCAAGTTCGGCTGCCATGTGTAGCCCTGTTAAGAGATGATATTGCGGTAATTTAACTTCGGAATCCTCTGAAAAATCTGAAAAATGAAGCAATATTCGATATCTCAATCCCCAGAACGTTTGGTCTGATTCTCCAAACTGTATAGCTGCTCTTACCTTGGCTGAGCTGCGAAGGAAATCCATAGCAAGACTTCTCAATTCTCTGGTCATGCTTTCACCCAAGTGTTCATGCCAGTGACTAGCGGCGTATGTCAACATGGGGTGCTTTTCGGAACGCTTTTCTAACGCTCCTGAGGTATCACAATGTCCTCCTTCGAACTCATCGTACGACAGGATGGTTAGACAGGCTTTGGCCATTATGTGATTCTCTCCTAGCTGCTGCTCCATCGTTGAGTCGTTGAAATGAGTTCGGAGGTACTCCTGGGTTGAGAAGTGCACTAGACGGAATTTGCCTGTATCGTCCATGAATACAAGACCCATGCAGGCTTTGATCATGATACCTTTCTTAGACTCCTTTTTCGTGTTCCGTCCTCGGTCACCGTCTCTTACCGCTATAGCTTGAAGAAGCTCGTTGCACGATAATGGGCGTCTGGCTCGGGACAACCACCAAAGTATGCGGTACGAGAGTTCAACCTTTTTAGAGTCCTGATCCTTGATCCGTTCTAAAGTCTTCTCGTACGATTGGTCCAGATCGAGTGGCAGTTGGTCAAGCGACTCTTCTATGTCGCTTTCGCATGTGCTGGTAGCAATGCCGTTCAGCATAAGAGACACAAGCAGAAACCTAGATATGTCAATGAGTCCACAAATTTCGACTGCGCTAAGGGTATACGCACATCCCGTTTGCCTTCTCTGTGATTTTCGACACAACCTTCTTTTCTAGTGACGGGTTATCCTCAATCAACTCTGCCAAATCTGCTTCATCACGTATCCTTGCTAGCACAGCTTTCTCGACATCGTTGTCGTGCGCAGCGACGATCACCTCTAGACATGGCAGGATCTTCAAGAGAACGTCCGAGAGATGAGACCGACCCGTGAGGAAGAATCTCCATCTTGGATCATCGAGAGCCTGCAAATGTTTCAGGAGCAACTTACGAAACTCGTCCGAACATTCGTCTAGGGCGTCGATGAGAACGAATATCTGCCTGAAATGTCGACACATCCGTCCAAGGGTTTCCACCAGGGTCTCAGCTTCAGGCCTTCGGTTATCGATCTTGCACTCGTCCCACAGGCGCTGCACTTCCTCAATACCCTCCTGCGTTTTACAGAGAGCAATCTGCTTCAGGATACTTGCAAGGACATTCTCGAGCGTTTGCGCTTCTTTGTCCGCGTAGTCGAGGTAAATGTAAGCAATCCCGACCTCCTAGTCTTTGTGCGTAGCAAGAAGCTTATCGATCGTCGTCGAACTACACTACATTAATTCAATCCCTCTCTACTGCTTCCGGATGTGAGTACATACGTTATAAACGTCTTGCCTGCTCCGGGCCCTCCGTGGCACCAGAGCGATCGGTGCGGGCTAGTTTCACGGCACCAGTCCTGGTATTCTTGTCTCTCAAAGAGCCATGTACCGCTGCCCTCGACCCTTTCTCTTCTGGTTTTCTTGTGCTTAGACTCGTAGAGCGGTGCGTAGAGCCACGCAAGAACATTGACGGATTGGACTTCCCTTCCTACGTGGCGAGGGCCGCGTTAGATAAACCCACTCGCAAGGCTATTGTAGTCTCACCAATTTGAACATGCCTTGCATTTATGTTGCCAACCTGAATGATATGCCCGTCCTGTGTTTGGTTCGCGCCCGAATAAGTAGAGCCGTTCTGGGCAGATACACTCGCCTCGGGAGCA